TCGAGTTTTGGCTACAGGCCGATGCTGTTTGTCATTCTCATGGCCGGTCTGGGCGCTATTGTCCTACAAGTGCTGCCTCTTTCATCTTAAAGGAGCTTGGCAATTGATGCGGTCTTTAGACGCTGTCCTGTAAACTGGGATGCGTGACAGGCCTTGACCTGGCAGCCCACTGCAGGCTCCTTTTGCACGACCATCCTAAGCACCCTCTTTTCGTTCGACGCCTAGTTCTCTACCCTCTATATGTTCTCTCAGAGGTAGCCATTATCGCCACCGACCTCGCAGAGCTCTTAGGATCCGCTATTGGAATCTGTCTCATCTTTCCATCCCTCCCACTCTGGGCGGGAGTAGTAATCACGGCCCTCGATGTCTTTATCTTTCTCCTCATCTCTGACCCCACCCGCAAGCATAGCCGACTGTTTGAAGTGGCCGTTATTGCTCTGGTCATGTCGGTGTTCGCTTGCTTCGTTGTGCTCCTTGTCAAAGTTAAGCCTGATTGGCCACAAGTGTTTATGGGGTATATACCTTCCAAAGCACTCTTCAAATCCGACCCAGATGCTGTCTACTCAGGTATATAAATTCGTCGGCGCTTGTACTCCGGCTAACCATGAAAAACCAGCCGTAGGAATCCTGGGTGCAACAGTCATGCCGCACGCTCTCTTCCTAGGTTCTTTTATGGCGACTCAAGACCGACACTCACCTCCTCCGCGTCCAGATCAGGGCACTGAACCCGATCTTCCTCTATATAATCTATCTTCACGCGTCAGAAAGGGAATTAAAGAGCTTTTCGCGGTGTCTACTACGGATACAGACATCCGCATCGTCGAGGCGAAGAGAGAAAACAACTCTCCGGCATTCATACGACAACACCTTAAGCATGAGATGGTGGACGTCATCTCAAGTTTACTGCTTCTGGCTGTCCCGATTAATTCGGCGTACGTCTTTTTCAAATCCGAATTCTCTAAGCGATTGACGAGAGACGGTGGCTCAGTATTTTAGTTATGGCCGCCACAGTATTTTATTCTGTCCTCGAGGATACAAGTGATATCACCGTAGCCGGTCTCTTTGATGCCCATGATTTGATAAAAGCGAGGATCGGCAAGGGTATACTGTTTGAATTATTTAAGACAAAAATGGTGCCTAATTTCTTTAATCCTAGGCGCCGCCTTTGTATTTGCCCTTGCCCTGATTTTGGCAGGACAAACATCGGGGATAACAGCTACTCTTGCGGGCCAGATTGTGTCGCAAGGATTCATCAACTGGCGTGTGTCGCCGTTCCTTCGGCGTCTGCTTACCCGTGCGCTCGCACTGGTACCTTCGGTGGTTGTGGCCGTTGCTGTGGGTCGTGAGGGTATCGACAGTCTCCTTGTCGTTTCTCAGGTAATCCTGAGCGTTGTCCTGCCGTTCGTGGCGTTCCCGCTCATCTGGCTCACATCCTCGAGGCGCGTCATGCGCATGGAGGGCGGACAAGACCATAGCAACGGGTGGATCTTGACCGTCGTGGCGTATGGGATATGGGTAGTGGTTCTGGTCGCTAATTCATATGCCGTGGTGTCTTGGGGCGGCCTGACGTGAAGTTAGGGCCGGGTACCGCATGTCTGGACTTTAGTTAGCCGTCCATCGATTGTATTGTTAAGCATGTTTTAAAATTTAGTGTGCGCGAATCCGGAATGTTCTTTGCGGTGTGAAGAGACGAGACGTGTTTCTCCCTTTGCCAAGAGAGAAGAGAAGAGAAGCAAGGGAAAGGTTGGGCCTGACATGCACCTACCGACACCCACAGGACTGAAACAGTGATACCTAAGGATACTTAGTGATACTTGCAGAACTAAAAAGCGCGAGGCACCGGAGCAAGAGCAACGTGTTTTCATAACGATCATTTGATATTACATCCAGTAGAACGGAGAAAAAACTAAGCGAGCTGAGATTTCCGGAAGATTATATTTAGATACTATGCGAAATAAGTGATTTAAAAAATCAATTCGAGACCAAGTCCGTCACTGGGCCATGAGGCGGTACGAAGATTGGTTCGGTCGAAAAGCGCACGGCGTGCAGGATGTCAAACGACATGGGGGTTGGACAAGCCAAGGCTGGAGCAGGATTGAGGGACATGACGGTGAACACAGGGGAGAGGACACACATAGATTTAGACGGGATCATTATTTAAAGCTCTACTTGATCTCCGCGCAGTCGCACTGGGCGCTGCGGCCGACTGCGCCCTTGCCACAGACGTCACACCAGGATCGATTTCCCTGTTCAACGCCGATGGATTTTCCAGACGAGTTGGAGTGGTGGGAGCTGGCGACAGACTCGTCGCGATGGATAGAGATGATGTGACGGCCAAGATCATGCTTCCTGGAGAAGGAGCGGCCACACGAACGGTGGGGACAGACATGTGGCTTGAGACGGTTAGGATCATGAGTGGCCATGTGAGTTTTGAGGTTGTAGGCCCTGGCAAAGGCTGCAGAGAGAGGTTAGCAGTGGAAAGAAGGAAGGAAAGGGAGAGCTATTCACCTCTTGGACACGAAGGACACTGATATTTTTTGCGTGGGTCCTGTTTATGGTCATCGACGCGGATGGGGGGGACATTGGGGACCACCGGAAGCTGCGTCGAGATATGCGACGGCGACACGGTGGCCTGGCCCATGCTGTAGTAGTAGCCGGCCGACCTAGACGGCGGACCGTAGTCAGAGTAGCTGGTGCGAGCTACGTACTGCTTCGCAGCCGCAGAGGGCGGCGAAAGGGGTGGGGTCGGGGGCAACGAGCCAAAGGAGTTGGGGTCGACATTGGCAGGAGAATAGTCGCTGAGGGCGTCGACTCTGATCCGTTGAAAGTCCATCTCAAGGTCTAGGGGAAAAGAGTAGTTGGAGGCAGGGTACTCATATGCAGAGTCGTAGGAGCTCTCATAGGCTGAGCTCCGTGCTGAGCTCTCTGTGATTGCAGAAGGGGGTCCCCGTGTAGGCGTGTCCGATCGCAGAAACGAGTAGGCGTCGTTCGAGTCGACCGTGAGCAGCTGCAACTGCGCCTGGTCGATTCCAGCGAGACTCGAGTCAAGCTCGCTCTCGAAGAGGTCAGGATGGGGTGCTACAACGTCCAAGGGCGCTGCAAAGGATAGAAAATCAAGGCCCTGCTGGGTACTGGGCTTGGAATAGTCAAAGTTGTCGAAAGTAAAAGCGGAGGCCATCGTTGCTGCGGACGTGGTGGGGGTCGAAAGCTAACAATCTATGAAATGTCATTGCCAAATATGACTGCTGCGCTTTGGCTTAGTCATCTCTCTCACGTCCACTTGCACTGCCCGTGTTTCCACTATTCTCGACCATCCTTTTACTGCGTGCTGCTGCGATCTCAGCGCTTACCTCGTCCTTTCTCATTACTTACTGACACTGTTCTCTCGTCCTTTTTGCTTCTGCCTTTCCTTTTTTTTGCCCTTGGTCTGTACCAAACTCCGATAGTTCGCACCGGCTCGGCGGCCATATATCCGACCGTCCCGTCAGCTCGCATTAGTCCGCCTTGTCGCATTCATTATTACCGCCAGGTCTTTTCAGGTGAGGCCCGGTTGTCATGCTGATTTTGGGCTTGGCTTTTGGGTTGGTGTCCGTCATCACGCCGGTTCCTGAAATGATTCGCGTCCCTCTGCCCCGCCCTGGACCGCTTATTACGGCCCGCCTAGCTCAATCGGATAGAGCGTCAGACTCTTAGGATGTCCAAGGCGGCGGTATCAGATCTGAAGGCTGCGAGTTCGACCCTCGCGGTGGGCTACTGAGTTAGTTTTTGTCGAAAGTAAGGATGGCTACTAGTCACGACTCTCCAAATCCCCCCAGGTTTCTGTCTGTTATCAGGGATTGTTTCGCGCCACATGTGTAATTCGAACTGATTTTCTGTTCTCTGTTTTGTTCCTCGGCAAGTAAAGTTCCGTTCCAACTGAACCCAAATGTACTGTGACATGCATGTCTTTGCCGTCTGTGACCGCATCTGACAGTCCCCGCCATAACAACGTAGGACTACACTTCAAAAACATACCGGAATAGCAACTTGACCTCGGAATATTCAACTCTTGGGCTAGGTCTCCCTTGACATCGATGTCTATAGAAATGACAGACGTGCGCTTCACCGGACATTATGAATTGGACTCGGACCGTCCCCCGGATATCTACCGTTTGAACGTTGCTCCTTCCAAAGTGGCTCATCGACCGTCGGGGCGCACAAAACATACCGCTCGTCCCACCCATGGCCTCTGATAGGTGGAGTAAACAAAACAATTGCAAGAAGGTCTGCACTAGATCTCCGACTGTTATTGACCAGGAAGTAAAGCCGCTGTTAAAGCCACAAAAATTTAAACCCCCCAAAAATATGAAGCTTCAAGGTTCGTTGGCCGCCCGTGGCGGTTAACTGCGCAAATTCCGGAACTAGGCCTGATACTTTCAACAGCAACTTTGCTTTCAACGACGTAATTTACCTGGCATGAGATTTACATGGCGTGTCTGTCGTTTCGCTACATTAGTTTTTTGAAATCAGCTCAGCATAACGCCAATAAAAAAGGTTTATTGCTGATCTGTAGAAATTCATCCGCAGCAATGGTCATGATTGATAGGTAACAGGCGAGGACCTGCCTGAGCACGTGGCTCAAGAAATCTAAGTTACCTGTTGCTGGAGAGAGTTTTATCGAGATATTTATGTGGCTGCCAGTCAAGCATAAGAATCACTACAACTAAATGTATTCGGTACATATAATTTACATGATAAACTCATGAATGTCAAATGGATGAAAGCTCCTAAGATAAAGAACAGGTGGAAAAAACGCGAAAGAGATAGTTGCAACACGTCGGTCATTTAGATAAGTAAAGGTACAAAACACCCCTTAAAAGATCGTCAGTAAGAAACAGCACCTCACACGTTGAGGTTTCGGTCAAAATTCTGTACACAGGCTTCATAGATCACAGTAAACTCCTTGAAGTCTCCTTCTCGGCAACAATAGGTTAGTGAGGGTTCAACTAGAAAAAACTAATAGCCCACCGCGAGGGTCGAACTCGCAGCCTTCAGATGTTATTTCAGCCCGATGACTCCGTAAAAGTCTGACGCTCTATCCGATTGAGCTAGGCGGGCCACAAGAGTACTGGAATAGTATTTAATATATCATAATATTTTAGAGTTTACCAGACGAATATGGAAGGTGGGAGATCGCATAAGTACTGGTGCACCAGCACTAATCACCTATTTACCATCAAGCCGTCGGATTTCAAAAGTGAAGCCTGAATTGTTGCAACGGCCCCATTAAAGCATGCCCACACTTCCTTGGCCAATGGCGACACCCCCGATCAGTGTGAAAAGACTGTTTGCGAGATTCCGCGTCTCATAGGCCCATCCGAAATTGTACGTATATCATTAACGTAGATCTTCACTGTCACCCCGGACAGTGCACTAGCCACATCCATGATGTTTGTAAGTTGGATAGTCACAAAATACCCGGGTCCCAGAAATTGGGACCGATCTTTTTCGCGCTAGCCGGAAGGGGAATGAACCCAATATGAGCTCTGTGCAGCCCGCGTAAGAGGTTTTCAGATATTAGATCAGGGGGACGGTGTCAAGTTAAGTGATTTTCTATGTCCATTTCTAGGGCATCCATCAGTAGGAAGATACGAAAATTCTTTAAGATGTGCTAAGCATCTTTTGTCCTTCCACAGACTTCTTGGAATGATGATCCTTGCAAGGAGAGCAGAATTGGCAGGAATGGGCGGAGCCACGCACACTGCACCGAGAGTCCGGTGACAGCTCTTCCTGAGTGTAAGCTAGACAATATCCGGAAGTGTGCATTCGACAGAAGGAGAGGGAAACGCTACGTTAAGTGTCGACGCAGGTTTGAGGAAAACGTTGTCGGACACCTTGGCCTCGTGCTTAAGCCAGGAATTTTCGGTTGTGAGAAAACAATGGAAAGATAATAATTGGAGGGCGTGAATTGGATGCTGAAAGTAATGAAGACAGTGACAAGGTATCCACGGACAGTGCGCTCTAGAGGCTGTGACTAGACATACCAACACAAGAGTGTGCACTCATATTTATCGCCAGGAGTTGGTTTAACCGTTCCAAAGAGCGAACTTAAGCCCTTAACAGACAGAACGACGATAGTGGTGGCGATCGTTGCGTAGAGAGATATAGCCGGTAGATAGACCATGAAGGGAGTAATATCGGCAATGATGCAAGAGGGTACCGTTCTCGTCGTATACATCGAAGTGGAGAGGAAACCGCGTAGGAATGGAACATTTGCATGTCCACTGTCATGAATTGAATATGCCAGGTCCGAGATGAAATCTGGGACCCAAGGCTAAACCTTTGGATTTGATTCAAATACCACACAGTTATGGATGCTGTATTGCAGACGCTAAGGGGTCAAGACATTGAAGCAGGGTTCGAGGGCAAAATGTGATGGCTGTGTTGAAAAACGGCTTATTGCTGACATAAGCATCACGAAATGACCTGCCCTAAAGCTCGTTATTGTCACTGAGCCCATTCGTTTTTATCTTCTGTTTGGTCACCCACCTCCATCATGTCTGGCTTTGACGCGAACAATGTCTACAACGTCTCTGTCCATGATCCGCCGCCACCGACTGCGCCAGAGTCGGCTTCTGATACGGAGAAACTACTACTGGACTTTTTGCTGCAGTATCGCGTCGGAGGAGAATTCATCTACAGGTGCGCCAGTCAGCTGCTGTTACTCAAAGTCTTTGGAGATTCACTCTAGTAAAGGGACATGCTTCGCGGGAATCTGCTTTTGAAGCAGAACGTTCTGGAAGTTGACCTTAGGCACGTCAGCCTCTACAACGACGAGCTGGCACATGCAATTCAGGATAGACCAGCAGATGTCCTGCCACTCGTACGTGATACCTTTCTGTTTCTGATCTACGCTTAGCTTGTATAGTTTGAAAATGCTGCTACTCGTGCCGCCAAAACCATCCTCTATCCTCTCGCCGGCACTGATGAAGCAATCAATGCAGTCGCCGAGTCTATCGACAAAGTCCAGATAACTCTCCGCTCTGGCCTGAACCTCCTCCAGTTCCGTGATCTCACCGCTAACACCATCAACAAGCTTGTAAGGGTCCCAGGAATAGTCATCTCAGCCTCTGTCCTTTCATCCAGGGCGACGAAGCTACACATCCAGTGTCGCGCGTGTCGTTCTGCCAAGACTATATACCCACCTGGCGGAATTGGAGGCCTTGGGTATGGAACCGGATCTGGATTGCCTCGGCGGTGCGAAGAGCCTCCACTCGACGGGCAGAAGAAAGACTGCCCATTGGATCCCTACCTCATCATCCACTCAAAGTCCACCTTTGCTGACCAGCAGACACTGAAACTTCAAGAGGCACCGGACATGGTGCCCGTTGGTGACCTGCCGAAGCATATGCTCCTCTCAGCGGACAGATACCTGACAGGGCAAGTTGTGCCGGGTTCGAGAGTTATTGTTACCGGCATATACTCGACCTTCCAAGCTGCGCGGGATGTAGGTCCTTGATCCCTTGCATGTGCATAACTTCTAACGTCATACTAGAAATCTGCTGGTGCTGCAGCTACTCGAAAACCATACCTCCGTGTTGTCCACCTCGAAATGTCTTCCCCTTCTGCCGCTGGTTCAGGTGGTTCCAACCCGTTTGGTGTTCAGTTCTCCCCAGAGGAGGAAGAGGAATTTAATGAAATGGCGCGGAGTGAGGGTTTTTACGAACGGTTTGCTAAGAGTGTTGGACCCAGCATCTACGGGAGTCTTGGTATGTTGCAACCTATAGTCTTGAAAGCTCTCATATACTAATATCGTGGCAGACATCAAGAAGGCCATCACCTGCCTCTTATTCGGAGGGTCCAAGAAAGCTCTACCAGACGGTATGCGACTTCGTGGCGATATAAATGTCTTGCTTCTTGGCGATCCTGGTACCGCAAAGAGCCAACTGCTCAAGTTTGTTGAAAAGGTGGCACCCATCGCTGTATACACATCTGGAAAGGGTTCTAGTGCTGCTGGTCTGACAGCTTCAGTACAAAGAGATACAGTTTCGGTGCGTACCTGCTTGCTATCCCAAAGTTTGGCTGATAGAGTAATGACGGTGTAGAGAGAATTTTATCTCGAAGGAGGTGCTATGGTCCTCGCGGACACAGGAGTTGTGTGTATCGATGAGTTTGACAAGATGCGGGATGAGGATCGTGTTGCAATCCACGAAGCCATGGAACAACAAACCATATCTATTGCCAAGGCCGGAATCACTACGGTGCTGAACACGCGTACCAGTGTCCTTGCGGCGGCTAATCCGGTCTTTGGTCGTTACGACGAAGGACGCAGTCCGGGCGAGGTGTGTTTCTTTCTTCATTGGACATGAGATGGAGCTGGAATATCTCTCTGAAGAACATTGATTTTCAAACTACTATCCTTTCTCGATTCGATATGATCTTCATTGTGAAAGATGAACATGACGAGACCAGAGATAAGGTCAGCTCGAATTTTGCGGTAATCCTTATAGTTCTCATATATATTCTGCAGACTATCGCCAAACACGTCCTGAATGTTCACATGAACAGACCTAACCACCTCACAGACGAGAATGGTGAAGGAGAATTACCTTTGGACAAAATGAAGCGGTATATTGCCTATTGCAAACAGTGAGATATATTGTCTGCGCATCTATGTTATCATTGAAACCTTTGCAGGAAATGTGCCCCCAGACTATCTCCGGAAGCCCAGGAGATGCTCAGCAGTCATTTCGTTAGTCTACGGAAACAGGTCCAGCAGGTGGAACAAGATAATGACGAGCGAAGCTCCATACCTATCACCGTCCGTCAACTGGAAGCCATAATCCGTATATCAGAGTCCTTGGCGAAGATGACACTCGCACCTGTTGTGCAAAACCACCACGTAGAAGAGGCTATACGGCTGTTCAAGTTCTCTACCATGGATGCCGTGTCCGCAGGTTCTGCCGATGGCCTTTCGCGAGGAAGTCTAAATGAAGAGATGACGCGTATAGAGAAGGAGCTGAGGAGACGTCTACCTGTCGGGTGGCGAACTAGCTATCAGAGTCTCATCAAGGAGTTCGTCACGCAGCAGGGGTACTCTAGCCATGCACTTGAGAGGACGCTGTATATCCTTGAGAAGCGGGAGGTGATTCGGTTTTCCGGACAGGTAGGTGTCAAACATTGCCATTCATATTAAGTCTAACAGGTTTCTTCGTGTTCACAGAAAAAGGTCGTCCATAGGTGCGTAGCGTTATTATATGTTCATCCCTGATACTGATGTTACTTCGTACAGGGTTAGAGTATAACTTGATGTTGTGGCATGATCAAGTAGATCGGGTGTATGGTTAATTTATTTCTTGTGTACTATTTGTGTTGTTTGTATCGCACTACGGATTCAATTGGCGCAGTTCTCTAAAGAACGATAACTCAGTCCGTTCTGTAGTATTCAACAGTGGTTGCCGCTAGTTTTAGGACCTGAGAGCACCGACGGAAACCGACTCAGTCAACGACTACATAATGTCGAAGAGCGTAACGCAAAATTTGACTTCTAACAGCATATTCTGAATGTTCAGCAGGAAAGGCACTTTACGTTACGGGAACTCGTTAAGAAGCCTATTCAACCGATAACTTCGTTATGTTTCAGAACAGTAAATGCAAGAATACGCAATGAAGCCCGTAGTCGGTAAAAAAAAAAACAGCAACCTCCTCCCTGCGAGTTTTAACCGCTTCCCTAACCACTGTCACCCGTACAATGTACAGAGCAGCAGCCTTAAATCCAGCTGCTGAGCTGAATTTAAAATTCTCTGGACAGGGGAGGGGTCCGGACAACGTCCGTCGTCGGTCCTCCACAGTCCAGGCTCCGACTAGGGTTGCGCACGAAACCCCCAGTTTTGATACACCCCGGTTTCGGACCGGTAAGTTACCGGTAAGAAACTGGTAAGAAACCACAGGTCAGTGGAGCATATTTCATTGAGGTAACTTACCGACCACCTGACAATATTACCACTAATGTTCTTGTGATTTCACTTCGCAGAGCAGTAAGAAGTAAGAAGACGTAGCCGGAGAATTCTGATGGGTATTGGGACAGAATTCATGAGTATTTGAGGTACGACAATGGGGCAGCGTAGCGTCACGGCGTCGTACAGAAGAATTTGGGAAAATGGCTCTGCGAAGGACACGTGAATGAGTCCCGTGACCGGTAAGAAACCCCCAGGGAGGGTGGGTACAAAACGGTATCAAAACCAACCCCCCCCCCGCGGAGGTTTCGTGTGCAGCCCTAGCTCCGACCGGCGACGATCGTCGATGTTACTAGAAGAAGCTGCACAATTTCCAAAAACAGTTCTAGCCCACCGCGAGGGTCGAACTCGCAGCCTTCAGATCCGCCTAAAAGTCATAAGAGTCTGACGCTCTATCCGATTGAGCTAGGCGGGCCACGCAAAATGCGCGAGGGGCTGGTATACCACACAACCGTACATCCAAGACATTAGAAGTACATTTCTTACGTCTCGTAGACCAACCCTCATTATCATTGACGACGATGAGTGCCATGGATACAGACGAAATCTCGGTGGTACTCCCATCGACAACGACATCGGGTCTATCGATATCTTTGTAAATACAGTTTTGACTTACGCTTTCCATCATTGATCTTGTCTCTTAGGCATCCCTTACCGATTCTGAATATTTCTGAACATTTGACGCGACGGAAACTGCAAACAAACACCTCCACTCCATTCAGTGAGTCATATGTCTCACCTCGATGTTGCGGGAATATACTCGAACTTTGTTTCAGTCCTTGGAGCTCTGCTGGGCACTCAGACCGGGAGAGATGTGGAGATCGTGAATACGTTTGAATTGGCTGTGGAAGAGGATGGTGCTACAGTGGATCATTCTTTCTTGGTATCGCGACGTGACCAGTGTACGTGGGCCTCATTTAACAGTATGCATCATTGATTAAATGCGTGTTATAGACAAGCAAGTCTTTCCCTCCTTGGAATTCATCGGCTGGTACACAGTGGCTCCTGGACCATCTTCGCGTCACATCGCACTTCATTCACAAGTACGTAACTTGATCCTTCGGCTTACACTTATCTTATGAAGGTAACAGTTCACAGGATACTGCTCGACACCTCTTCTCCTACTCCTTCAATCGTCGAGTAACATTTCCACAGGCTCCGATGGCAATCAAACACTTCCTTTCAAAGCCTACGAGCCAACGATTGAGATTAGGGATCGTCTGTCTCGTCCGGTCTTCGTTGAGGCGTCGTACAATGTAGAGACAGGTGAAGCCGAACGGATCGCTGTCGACTGGACTGCACGCGGTGGCGGTAGTGGCACGAGTTGTATGTTTTTGTTCCCTATGTCAGCTCTCTAATATTGAAATCCTCTGTAGTGGAATCGCATCTGCAAACGCAACGAGCGGCTGTCAAAATGCTCCATGACAGAATCGTCATTTTGGTTCATTACGTTACAGAAGCTTTAGCCGGTAGGGTGATGCTCGTTGGTGCTTTCTCTTATTAAGTGCATTCCTGCCCAGGTACAGCGCCTAAGGATCAAGCTATTCTTCGATCCATCTCAGCGTTAGTAGCCTCACTTCCTGCAACAGAGAATAAAGCATTCCGCGAGGAATTTGATACGGTTGGAGATTCTGCTATACTCTGCTTTTACATCGCTGACAGTGGGATTGGAATAGGAATACGAAGATGTTCAGATCACAGCTTTTTTGTCATCTCTGACCAAATCAACTAGCATTTTGAATGATGTGCGGCCAACACCATGCTTCACCGATTTCAGTCTGAATGACCTTTTGGATTTTAGCTCGTTGATAAACACCTCGTAATCACAGCCAGTCGAGAAGACAAGATGGGGGCCCGCCGAAGACCTATGGGCAGAATGCCGATGGCAGAGTGGCATTGAGCTCAGTTAGACTCGTAGAAATCATTATCACACTCATCGCCTTACGACTTTTCCGAATAGCAAAATTGTATCGTTACACCGACCGGGACATATGTGTGTTCCCAGGGCAATGCTGATGGTGTCGATGAAGTTGAAGTTGAAGCTGAAGTTGACAGGTTCCTGGGTGAACTTTGAAGGTGAGGTCTTCGATGACAGGCCATTCCAACTAATGGAAGACTCTATGGATGGAGACATACCCATGTAATGAAGTCAATAGGGAGCGGGATAGGAAATTGGAAAGAAACTGTGCCGGTACATTGTAACGTAGGTCTGGGAATGTCTACCTAGTGAAGAATCTTTATGACGACTAGCTTAATACAGAGCACATGTACGTGGCCGTCTGGCGAAATGGCATCGCGTCTGACTACGATAGGGGATGTTTGGCTCTGTTGCTATCAGGAGATTGTAGGTTCGACCCCTACGTCGGTCATATTTTTCCTTCTTTGAGGGCTGTTTTCATTTTGTGAACGTTATCATACTAATATGTATTTACCTGGAAGGAAACCCTCCCGACAGAGGTCAATTCGGTCACTAACCGGTAGTTTACCGGTGTATAAAAACGTGTGATGAGCAACCACATCCGGTGATCATTGTCTTTCGCCACTACCACCACGATGCGTCAAGGCCGTCATGACGAGCACAACACGAAGGAGTATCATAGAAATGGTGAGAGGTTTTATATGAGATGCATGATGAGTGCTCACATCCGACCTGATGAACCTTTGCGCATGACCCTCAACGTTATTTACCTGGCAATCCTACATGCTCAAAGAACGCTCCCGCTCCAGGTCTCTAGGAAGAGATAAGGAAAGGCGATATTATACATCCGATGATGAGGCACACGCTACGCACTCTCGACGTCAACCACGAGGGGAAGGCAGTCAACGCAGATATGCCGTACCAGCGAAGTCTCCCGAAGGTGACCGTAACATGAGAGGTCGAGACCGTTATTCCAAAGATATATCTAAGCACCATAGAGATTCCTCTGTGAGCATGTGCAAGCTCGTTTCTTCCGTGTGGGTTCTGACGCGCTCTTGTCAAGCGGACGTCTAATCGAGCTGTGCGTCATCGTCCTATCGGCTCATCTGGAGAAACATTGTTTTGACCTTCAAAGTGGAAACTTTTGTCATTATAGGAGCATGAACATCGTCGACGCAGTCGTTCATCCGAATCATACTCTTCCTTCTTGAGCGACGACCACAAGAAACGCAGGCGTAGTTCACGCTCTAGGTCACCTCGTCCCAGGAAGGATAAGGATTCGCGAAAGCACAAGGACAGAGACTATGAACAGGACAGGAAACAAAGGAAAGGCAAAGGAAAGGATAGAAAGAAGGACAAAGACAAGGAGGAACGGAGAAGTGTCCTCACGGGCAAAAAGGTTTTCCTTCATTCTTCTTAGCGCCTGTTCAATCTCATTCATGTTCCCAAGATCAAGTTGAAAGTCAGAAAAGAGAAGGGGGACGACGAACGGGAAGCTAATAGGAAGGATCTTCTACAGTTTTTGAACTCGACGTTCGAATGAACCATTCACATAATTAGTATGTTATCTAAATATCTACAGTAGCCATGCGGTGCTATCTAAACGTCTCTTTGCGTTATGCGATAAATAAAGTACTACAAAAAGGTATCGAAAGAATTATGCAGCAAAGAATAGATTAGAATGCCTTCCAAATAGATGTTACACACGATGAATGAAATCTAGTCGTTAGTTCGCCTTTCCTAGCTACGGTCTTCCTGATAAGAGAAGCATGGGTGCATGAAAGCAAAAGCATGGCAAGCAAGGCATCAAACCTTTAGATTCTTTTGCACCATTATAAGTGATGATGACCGCCTTATATTTGTCTTGATCTTCTTCCAAAGCCCGCGTTGTGGCGGCGAAGTAGATATGTCCAGTTTGGACTTGACGGGCACCGACGACGGCGGTATGATAGCGGTGAAGATAGGTGGAGATATCTCTTTGACTGGCTGGCTAGTCTTCGGTTCCGCGTCCCCGTGAACAAACAACGGCGACGTAGAAAGCCCGATCTCGGGAGAGGTGTTGTTACTGGCACCTTGGAAATCCGATCCGAAGTGCGAAGAAGACGCGAGAGATTGTGCCATATCGCTTTCGGGTTCTGGTGGTTCTGGTTCGTCGTCTATGAGTACCAGACGTTCTGGTTCGTCCGCACCAGAGTGACTGCTTCTTCTGCTGCTTCTCCCGCTTTCTCGATCCCCTTCATCCTCCATTTCAAAAACGACATTGTTTCCTTGGTTATCTGACTCATCAGGTAGATAACGGCGCGGAACGCTTCCAAGAGAGTGGATGGTAGTGGCAAAATCCCAAGAATCAATAGAACGATGAGTTTGGGTGCTTGAGATTACCCGACGTTCTTGCCGATGGGCCAGAGGCGGTAGATTCTCTGGAAGAATGCTGTCAGACGCATATTGAATAATAAAGGACGATAAACTTGCTCAGTATAGTAGCGATCAGGTAGGACGGCTTCTTTGCCCCTTTGAAGAACTGTGTTTGAAGGAGCTGTTCCGCAGTTGGCCTAGGAAGTAATGAGTGAATGAAAAATGCCGTTGAAGCTTACAAACACACCGTTGTGACGGGTCTTTGACGAGACAGCTTTCCAGCATCTCTTGGAAAGCGCGGGAGTACTTGTATGTACCGCCATCCCTATCCAGTGTTGGAGGTGCTTCTTGAATGCTATACTCCCACAGAAATGAGGATACTGAAGGATGAAATGATATACACGCACGTTTTCAACAATACTTTTTGAGGTGACTCCCGGGACCTGGGTGGCCGGCCCTGGGTAAGTTCGAGGGCGGTGATACCAAAGCTCCATATATCCGCAGAAGAGTCATAGTTCTTCCCCTGAATCAGTTCGGGCGCCATCCAGCATGGCTAGTGGCTCATGAAGTAAAGATACAGCTAAAGATATCTTGCACGTACTGTACCAACGAAAGACTTCCGTTTTCCTATCTTTGGTCTTGAGTGTGTTGCGGTAGGTTCGACAAGTACGACACGTCTGATGGAGCCATAGGAACTGTGTCCTGACGCCGCACTGCCTTGACTATCATGAGAACTATTCTGCTGACGCGGAGAGGCCATATAGCGTGAGGCCACGGTCTGTAATTTCGAAGTGCTGGGAGAAGTGTCCTCAGCGAGGTTTGCGGCGACACCGAGATCACCTAAAAGGACCGTTCCATCGTCGTCGATTAATAGATTTGCTGCCTTGACGTCGCGATGGATGAATCCATTGATGTGAAGATAGCTAAGGCGAAGAGTAAGTGATCTACGGGATACCAGTAAGAGCGAAGCGGCACTTGAGACCCAGGAGAGCTTGACGAAGGATGCAACGGATAACGTCTTCCTCCAAACCAGCAGGCCAGCTATAGTGCATAACATCGGCGGCACTGCCTTTATTCATGAGCCGCAATGCGATGAAGAGCTTGTGGCCGTCCATCCACGAACCACGGACACGAAGAACATTTGGATGCTTGGACAGGGACATCAGAGTTGTCTCGCGCTGCAGAAGTGACAGCGAATGAGGGGGAAGCGAGTCAAGATCCAGAACTTTGAGGGCGCATGGCATTGCAGACGAGGATCCTTGAGGCTTGTATTTTGCTGAATAGACAATCGAAGATGCGCCAAATCCTATTGGAGAACCGATGGTGTAGTCCTCAGAACGATCACTACGAGCGAAATGAGCCAGTGCCAAGGTACACGGGCGAGATGCTCACCTGTACATGTCCCAGTGGTCCTCGACCGCGCCAATGAACTCCTGGGGCGCCATGTCCGGTCTCTTGGATGTCGGCGACATCGTAGGAATACCGCTCACGATAATGATGATCGTAATGACTTAAAACAGAGAAGCACTGCTGATGCACGTGGTTACGAACCGCCGGCTCGAGAGCCGACGTCGATGCGCGTCTTGTTCGTCGGACACATCGTCGAGTCCAAGGCACTGATAACGCCCTGTACCGCCAGCATTCTTGAGGACAATAACGAAAAAGGTGGAGCAAGGGTAACCGTTTTCACGCTCGGCATCGCCGCCACAGTGGCGTTTGGCAACAGTAGACAACTAAGCGCTGGCAGAGATTGCCACCATGAGATGATGACGTCCATATGATAGGTTGCGATAAACCGGACACGAGGGCTACCCTGAGAGTAGTTATCAACTGTAGAGATAAGAGCAATATCACTCTGTTGCCACCAGCACAATATTCAGGTGCAACCTGAGCTGCTGGCTCTATTAAGGCGGCACCAGCACGTCCCAGAACATTCCACAAAAATCAATAAAGACAATTGCAAGCGGCAGATGTCGAGTCAATATTTCGTTGGCGCAGGGATACTCCTGTGGCAGTGCAGTGCCGGAAAATGCCGCCAATCACAGACCTTCTGTTCCGAGAATACGCCACCGCTCAACATCCTCTCCGTCCGTCTCACTCTACCCTCCGTCTCTCATTTCTATCGGCTCTCTCCTCTGTGCTGTCGATGGCTCCACAGCAGCCTCCAGCCAGATATTCATACGTCGAGACCTCTGCTGGCCCCAAAATCCTTCCCGTAGAGGAGCCCTCGTGCAAGGATGAGGAGAGCCCAGCAGATTACAATGCAGGAGGATATTTACCTGTCAAACTCAGCGACACCTTCAAGAATAATAGGTACAAGGTTATCAGGAAGCTTGGGTTCGTACTCTTTACCCTGGCTCCTTTTCAGTTTTCCTAATCTCGCGCAATCGACAGATGGGGTCATTTCTCGACTGTATGGCTCGTAAAAGACACCCAGTAAGTATTTCTATCACGCTTAGTTTGCTCTTTGGTTACCGCTTTCTCTTGCAGTCTTCACCGTCATTCGGCTCTCAAGGTTGTCAAGTCTGCTGGGCGATACGCAGAAACAGCGAGAGACGAGATTAAACTCCTTTCTCGGGTCGCATCGTTTTCACCCGCTCATGCAGGCCGCCAGCACATTGTCTCCTTTCTCGACTCTTTTTCACACCAAGGACCCGAGGCCTCCCATATCTGCATTGTATTTGAGCCTCTTGGCGAGAACTTGCTGGCGTTGATAGAACGTAACAAGCAGCATGGAGTAGCACGGGCCCTCGTCAAGGTCATCGCCAAGCAAACTCTGCTCGGTCTCCAATATCTTCATGATGAATGCGACTTGGTTCACACCGACATTAAACCGGAGAATATTCGTAAGTAGCTCCTCTAACGAGTCACTGTTATCATCGAGATACTGATTTAAACCCTTATAGTAATTTCTATTCCCGACATTGAAGCCCACATCTCCACCGAATTATCTCAATCTCCCTCCCCGACCTCTCGTCGGGTCGGTGTCCCTCTACCGTCTAATATCCGCTCGGGTTTTGCCATACGAAATCAACGGTCTACCCGTCGCTCCGTCCAGATATTTGACTCACAGCCTCTTTCAAGTCCCTCACGGAG